CCTAACAGACAAATCCAGTGAGTTTTTCTGCATGACGAAACATGGCCTCATACGGCAAACGTCGTCAAAACTCTCCTGCACGATTGGACTGGAAGGTACTTCAGTACCCAAAATACTCTCCAAACCTCGCTCTACCAGATTATCATTTGCTCCGCTCTCTGGCAAACCTCATGAGTTGTTCATGTCTCGATTTCAGTAAGCAACTTGAGCGCTGGTTAGATGACTTTCTTGGGATCCGGCGCGCTGCCATTTGAAAAATTGAGGTTGAGAAGCTAGCAATAATGTGTGCCAAAAGGTTGTGCGCTACAACCAGGAATATAATTTTGAGTGATTTTTTTCTGTAAATTGATGATTTTGTTGGTTTATAAAAACGCTACGAACTTATGGAACGACCTAATATTTCTCAGTACTACATGTATTCATTTACGATTATGCTCAGAAGACGTTTAACGTCGACTCAAAGACAGTAGCTCGGCAAAAATAACTCGGATTTTGGTGTAGTAGGTTGCTCACAACCCAAACAGAGCAAGGCGCGACAGCATGATGCTCCTGCCAGGAAAACTACCCCCAAAACGGCGCGCAAGCCACTCTCAAGCCTAGGGCATACTTCCCGCAATTCCGTCAACACATCGACACGACTTGGAGTTGTGCCAGATGTCTATAAATTGAGCATGTTCGGGTCTCAAATGCGTAGGCGCGTAGCTTCCTCAAATTGTTGCAACACACCAAATCTGATCCGAGCAAAGCATACTTACGACCATTTATGAAGGGTCATTGCAGTGCCAAATCGCGCAGCGATTGACATCGCGTAAACTTTACCTACCTCAGGCCTTATACGCGCACGGACGAGCTTGCGATTTTCCTCCCATCGTCGTAGGCGGCATGCCGCAATGTTATAAGCATAAAGATTTTGCAAAGGTTTTGCGTCCCTTATGATGGGAACTGCTTTACTTCAAATTTAAAATAGAGGACCTTGGAAAATGCTGCTTTTGCCACTTTTGCGCATTCTGAGGTATGTTTTCGGAATCAGCGCGTCGGATTAACCTATGTAAGCAAAAACTTCCCAGGTTAAAGGGTTGCCGAGCTACTGTCTTTAGGCTCTAACTCCACAACTATGTTTGTTTCGCCGACACATTGTGACGCTGTTTGCAACCATTTCTAATTATTATTGAAGCAGGATCTCCGCCTTTCTCCTCTTACTTTAGATTGCGACACTGTTTTTGGAGGCAAACCGGGCAAGTATGATGGCAACGAGATGGACGTGTATACTATTGCGCACATCCTAGTAAAGTGTTTGAGCAAAGACCGCACAATTTTGAGCATTGCCTGTAGGAGGGCATAGAAGGGCATGGCAACGTCAATGTGTAGGCTAGGATGTGCATATCGCACATGCATAAAATCATAGCCTCGCCCAGAATCTGCAACCTTGGCGTACTCCTCCGCTGTTCACGTTCGATCAGGGCAGCGCCATCTGAATCTACTCAAGCGGCTGCGCGGGCGGTCACGCGCCATCACTGCGTGCCGGGACAAAGGCTTCCTTTGCTGTTGGCGTTGATGGCGAGGAGCTATTGTGAGTTCCTGAGCGTTAGACGTAGACGGCATCGACAACAAGCACAAATCGCGTTGCGCTCGTTGTGGTGCATGTGTCTATAAGACGTCCTGAGGTTGCCCTAACCGTTGTCGCTGGTATCACCTGTGTACATCAACATGCTGTTGCGACTTTTACTTGGAAGGTGTTGTAATCACAGGCAAAGCTTTGCTAACAAAAATAAACTTTCAGCACGGAAGCTCCCATTGTTACTTTAAAAATTATCAACTGAGCTGGAAATATGCACGCTTTCGAAGAAGCCGAAGAGATCATTTGTCTCTCTTCAAGCATACCATCAAACTCGGATACTACCAGTGTGAGATAGTCTCACCTTCGTCTTCTTCTTCTGCAGCACATCCCGCCAACGAGATTGATCTCCAGGATAAGACAAAAAAGAGTTCAATCAGCTTGATGCGTACGTTCTTCATCATTCCATCATTTTAGCGTGCAAATGGATTTGTAGAGGTTGTGGCTCGCATTTCCAAGAAATGAAAAGCCCTTGAAGAAGAAGATCCAGAACTTATACATACAATGAGAACAACATAGGAAGCAAGCTGGGAGAGCTCCTGCCGAATAATAGCGATTTTACTCTGCCCAGTAGAAGCTGCTTGCAAAAATGCGGTAAAAAGGCTTATACCAAACCGAATCAGGCATTCAAAAAGGTAAGACAATTTTAGCTCCATGTTTTGGACAAAGCTCATGAAATTCAGAAAAGACGGATTCTTCGCGAGGAGAACGAGTTGGCGTCTCCAACACCCATTTTCATAATTTTCGTTCGTCATTGCAAAGTCATGATCTCATCTGTGAAAAAATTTGGCGACTCTTTCATTTTTTTCGAATATTAGACGCTTGGAGGATACTGCCTTATCTTACTGCTACTTCCTTTCTCTTAGCTACACTTTCATCAGTATAAAACAGTGTATTGAATGTGTGTTGCTATCTTGTCGTCTCGTTAAGAACGATGCTTTTCTGCTGTGATGTCGTTAAGGGCAGCGTCCAGGCAGATTCTCGACTTTTATATTTTTATGTTATCCAGGCCTTTCCATGGCTCTGATTCCGAAAATGGAACTCAAAAAGCGTGAACTCAGAAAACCAGCTTTTGGGGCTATTTTGGGAAAACCCGGACGAGTGCTTTTGATGTTATCCTTGTCGAAAGCAAGTATTAACAGGTAAACGCTGTAAGTTCGACTGTGCTCGTCATGTGAAAACACGTCAAGGCTGAGGAGATTTCGTTCATGAGGGGTTGGCCGTCCGAGGGAAGTGGGCGTGGTCATCGAGCTCGGATCTGCCTGGGCGCTGCCTTCAAACTTCTTTTTGTTTGATTAACAATTGAACTATGCGCTTATGTGCGTATTGAGTACTTCTTTTTGTTTGATTAACATTTAAACTATGCGCTTATGTGCGTATTGAGTACTTCTTTTTGTTTGATTAACATTTAAACTATGCGCTTATGTGCGTATTGAGTACTTCTTTTTGTTTGATTAACATTTAAACTATGCGCTTATGTGCGTATTGAGTACAATTTGTCTACATTAGTGGGTAGAAGAACGAAATTCACCGTTGACCTTGCCTACGTGGACTACTGATCCTCACACATATGGAGTAGATGGTGAAAAGACCAGAGCTTTGCGCAAGAAGGCACCCAATGACTACTCGTTTCTCCATTCTGGGTAAGAGGATTTTCCTATCACAGGACGGCAATTTTCACCAATTTTCACCAAAAACCAATTTTCACAGTCATTGCAAAAAGGCTGAAATCTGCGAGTTTTTGAGTGTTTAAACTTCAATTCAATCCCAAAATCACCAGAATGCAAGATTTCAAGAAAATCTGTGAAAGTGGGATTGTACGTTTTGAGCGTTCCTTCAAACTCCAGCTTGACGGTTCCTTAGGGAACAGCCATAGGTTGCTGGAAACTGTGTCCAAGGTTGCCGAGGTTGCCGGCGTTGTCGGGGTCAGAGACAGGTTACATAGCGCGCGAAACGTAGAGGATACTGGAGATCTTACAACGATCGGCAACGATGGCATATGGCCGCCGTTGCTGGCCATATTTTGCCGGCCATAATATACTTAGAAAACATATTTGGACTCAAGTTTTCGTAATTTCAAAGCCACTGAAACTGCGTCATAATGCTAAACGAGCTGCAAAAGAAAGCACGCGTTTCACGACGGTAATCTATAAACTGCAAAAAGACTTATCTGCGAGTTTTGAGCATCAATGTAGTGCCACAAACTTCTAAACACTCGCTATAGACATAAGGAAGTGTTAAGCAGTGTCTTGCTCTATTTTCCTTGATTGATGATGAGCTGCAAGCTTTGAAAACACCGTCCACCCAAAAATTCGACCTCCATGTTTATGCCGTTGCAGGGCCTTCTCAAACCCTTGATTCCGAATGTCAAGTCGGAAATCCGGAAAACCACGAAAAACCCCCGTTTTCAGAATTCGCAGTTTGGAAGCAATTTACTCTCTTCGGAAGCAACTTTGTGCCAGCGCGAGTTGGATAAGTATACAGTTAGGGGGCTCCATTACTGTCAGCATCAAAATCTCTTCGACTCCGTTTTGGTAGACGGCGCCTTTGAGCAATATCTCGTGGACGCTGTCGCGCTAAGCGGAGAAAACTGCTCGTCGCTGAGGCGACCGAATTCGTCGTGCTTTTGCGCATTCTGGCGCTTTTTGGCGCTTTTGGGCATTTTATATACCCTTTTAGTTATGTTTGACGGATTTGTAAAAAAAAAGGTCAGAAAATGCTGAGTTCCTGAAAAAAGTGTGTTTTCCTGAAATAAGGTCAGAAGATGCTGAGTCGGTCGGTGGTGGCATATTGTCTCCATGTTATGATATCAACAAAAAATTATTTGAGTCAGAAGAATAGCTACAACTTGAAGGCAGTTTCTCGGCAAATGAAAAACCCTGGAGCTGTGGTGGAAAAGGTTGCTCCCCCGTCTTGGCACACACCAAGGCGGGGCATGGAAAATGCTCTCAAGCCAAAGCTTTTCAAGAAAACTGCCTTCAGAGTGGCTTGTAACCTCGCGCCTAGCGAGTTCGCTATTCGCCTCCCATCGATAGGAGCGCACGTCGCCATGTTTATAACAACAAAGTGTCTTGCAACTATTTGACGTCTCCAACCTTATTGAAAACATCTCAAGAAATTTGAAAAGTGCTCGTTTTCGCCGTTTCCGCTCACTCAAGGGCAATTTTTGGTGTAAGTGTGAATAACCCCAAATTAGCGAAAATGTTTCAATTTAAGAATTTGTTAGGCTACTGCCTTTGAGCCTATTCTTAAATCATAATAAAGTTGAAGAAGTTAAGTCGTTGCACAAATCGTTGCAAAACCCTTTCTCATGTAATTTAAGAGGGGTATTATAGCATTGCTCGTGAAGTTGAAATTTGTGACGATGTGAATAAAAAAACAAGTATCAAATGCCGACTAGGGCCACAGTACTCACATTTTCCATTTGTGCTCTTAGTATTAGGTCCGATTTGTAGAAAGGATGTATAGTTGCTGGAACATATTCGTAGTTTGAATCGACGTCAAACCGTTCGGAACGCACAAATGACGCTTGCGAAAACTGCCGCGGACAACGGCGCCAAGCCTGAAGCCGTATTGGTCATTTAAACAAGTGAATTGCTCATCATTATAGTGCACCAAAATGAAGTTGATCAAGCCTCGAAATGACACTTCAGCAACTGAGGAGAGACTCATATAATCACAATCGGAGGTTAGAAACTTGCATAGAAGCTCATCACCTATGCCATTTGGGATGTCTTCGTTACTAAATGAAATGGTAATTTGCAGCACTTCTAAAGAAGTTCATCTCACCCTTTGATAAAGCACTGGTCCTCCACTATACGAAACGACCGTGAGGCAACTTGCGAGGAGAGGAAAAAACGGGCTACAGAATCCGGGGGAAAGACGCACTCCTTTAGCTAAATCAAAAAATAATTCCATATTTCACTAATTCTACATTTGACATAAGACTAAATTTGGTCAGCCACTGATTCCTCTCCCTGAACAACAAAAAGTTGTGAAGACAAGTTCTCTGCACCTTTTCGGCCACTTTTGGAACATTTCGCAACACACTCCCAAAAGGTAGGCGGAAGAAGGGGCGTCTTCTCTCCCATCTATTGGTCCGCCACCGATAGGTATAACCAAAATATTTACATGGCGATATTGCGTACTGCTGCGAAAGTCCAAGTTTTCCTGTTTTGGTGAGGCTCCCGCCAGAGTGCCGAAGTTATGCCAGCGCTACGCCAGCATTTCGATCGATACACGTGTATTTCGTTAGGGCGGGGCTAGCTGACGTCCCCAACGAAATAACGTGTATCGATCGAAATGCTGGCGTAGCGCTGGCATAACTTCGGCACTCTGGCGGGAGCCTGAAGAAGACGAAGCACCAATTCAAAGTGCACGGCAGCTGGTAGGAAGCAATTGAAACTGTGATTGTCGAAAAAATTGTTTTCGTTGCACTACCATCTTTTTGATGAGTGTAGAATGATATAGCCTTGTCTTGTCGATTTTCTGCTAACGAGGGGATCGTGTTTCGTCGAAGTGGCCTTTCCAGATAAGACCCATACTGCTTTAAAGAGCAAGAGATGATTTCAAATCTGCCTTCCATATCTGCCACCCGCCTCTGAAGACCTATGGGCGTTCAGGTCGAAAAATTGAATAAACTGGAACAAAATTTGCTCAAATGATCTAGTGTCAAGTATTAGAGTCGTGCATGCAATGGATACGTTTTGTCTAATATGCTAACACTTGAAACTGCTTTATCTGAGTGCTGGAAAGATTGTAACAACGATTTTGACTAAAAAGGCACTTCGACTAAACACCCTTCCCTTGTAAGTAATTTTCATATATTGTTCAGCTATGAAAGTGATGTCATACCTTTAGCAGAGGTATTGATCGGATCTGAGCGAGTAACCTCAGCAACTGCGTAATGATGGGATCGGAGAAGCACAAAGATTTGAGTGTAAGTGAACATTCTGCATCCAGAGGTAGAAGCGAAGAAGCACGAAACAGCGCAGAAATGTCTCCATCTATAGCACATTCCAATATTAGTGCTTTAACAGTGAGATCTTTGAATCGCTGCAACTCGTTCAGTTCCGAATTAAAAATTGCGAATCGTCTAAAAAAATCATTGACACTGATGTGCTAGTACAAAATCGACCATCACCTTGGTTTATCCAGTGAAAATTGCGCTTTGTAAACATCAATTATCAATAAATCCTCTTCAGCTCTCAAACGTATCATCACAGATGTGCGACGTAGAATCTTGCGATGCTTGGAAATAAAAGTGAAATCACTTCGTTGCACGGCTTTGAGTGATTTGAGATCCTAAACGATACAAGGAACATTGATCCTTTTAGTCAACTAACAAGGAAAGGATACATGGTGACCGTGGCCTTTGGAAATGAAACGTAAACCATTGAATGCATCTTGAAGCGCTGATTCTAAATCTGCTTTCGGTATCTGCTGTGCGCTCTTCGGAAAGAAGTTATGAACATTTCTTGTCACCAAAATTTGCACTGTTTTTGATGCAGGATCCACCAATATCGTTAGGATGTTCGCTTACGCACTGCAAAAGAGAGTACAGGTAAAGTAAAGCTTAGCTTCAAGCTCGGAAAAACTGTCACCGAACATCAAAGTCTAAAAAGCCTGGATACTGATGATTTTGACTGCCTAAATCTCGCAAAATTAATATGGAAAAAAGTCCATACCTTCGTTTAGGGAGTCGCACAGCAGATAATGAACATAGATTCAGAATCAAAGTTTCAAGACGCACCTAATGGTATATATCTCGTTGCAAAAAGCCACGGTCACCAAGTATCCTTCCCTCGTAAGCAAGTTTACCTTTGGGTCTATAAGCTGATATATGATAAGTAGTATATGAGTTGGGAGATCGTTTAGCATAGCTATTGAATCTCCAATTCTGTAAAAAATGATTGCTTCAATCAAGACGTCATCTATGTGGAGTGGAGGATGAAAGTGTAAACAAAATGTGTACTCGTCAAAGACGAAGATAAATAATGCATGTGAGGCTTTGAAAAGCTGTTCAAGAGTAACAGAATCAATTAGAAGAATGTAATTTTAGTCCATTTAAATCTAGGGCATTACTAGACATCGATGTAAATACCCATTGTTTTCTCGCGTACATCCGCTTTCGCAGATTCTCTCTAATTTTAAATTGGATTTTGAGCCTCCCGTAATTTCGGTTGCTACTTAAGGCCTCGGTCATGCCGCGCGCAATTTTACCGAGTCGCTATCGCCAACGACTTGCAAAATGTTCACCAATGCGCTGCGCCAAATTCAATGCACGGGCGCACAGCGTTTATAAACTGATGTGTGCGTTCCGAATCTTGCTTATCTAGAATCGTTAACGAAAGATTAAGAGCTATCGTAGCTTTGCCAAATCGCGTGAGTTGCGATCCAGGCCCAAATTGACCACACACTAGATGTCTTCAAATATGTTAAATGTTTTCAATATATCACTTCAATATATGATATGCGTTCGAAATTCATAGTTAAGTAAATGAAAACTTCAACTTTTTTATATATGAGGCCTAATGTCTCTTCTCTGTATCAGCTGTGTCGTATACTACGTATACTTCGATTGAAAAGTAATATTTTTAAATCGATCCGGACCAGACTTCGCGCACATACATGTTGGGGTGGGCGATTATAGGTGTCGTGGGCTACTTTTCGGCATGTTAATTCATTGGCTTTTAAGCAAATTTCAAGTACGGAGTAGGAAGTTGGTACAGAGGGGTAAGTGAGCATGCCTATCAGAATTTTATGCCACTAACTGATTTACCCGGCTCCGCCCGGCCCTTTCAAAACACTTTGATGAAAATCCTCTCCATCACGCTACAACCTTTCCCTGTGTCTACTTCTATATGCCAATTCCCTATTCCCGATGTGTTAGTATAGGGGCCTGCATGATCTCGAGAGTCGGACGTGCGTACGGTCATTGCGCTGCGCATGTCCGAAGTCCGATGTCTGTCTCACGACTCAGGTAGGTGCCAGACTTCCCCCGTTCAACAGTTCATTCGGTTCACCCCCTTTGTATTGGTCAGTGCATTAATTTGACAAATAGCGAATGAGTGAACCGGCGAACCGGTTGAACAGGATAAGTCTGGCACCTGCGTCAGTGACATCGGACGGCGCAATGGCCGTACGCACGTCCGACTCTCGCAATCATGCAGGCTCCTATAATCAGCACGCTCACTTACCCCCCCCCCCCTCCTTTGCCAATTCCCAGCCCCGTAGCTTGAACTTGGCAGAAAATCGATAAAATTGATAAAAGTGAGGGATGAGGATGATTCTGAAGCCTATATTGTATTCGTAATCAGCATGCTCGATTACCCCCTTCCCTGTGCCAACTCTTACCCCGCAGGTTAAACTTTTCAAAAGATCGATAAAATCGATAAATCGATATCGATTTTAACGAAAGGTAGCCTACGACACCGTCCCTCCCCAAAGCGTATGTGTGCAAAGTTAGTCCGGATTGGTTCAGAAATAGAACCTATTCACATGGGACCTTACGGATTGCTAGCAAACGGATGGGCCAAACCCATAAATAGATGCTGTTCCAAACCTATAAACTTCCCAAATAAATTTTTTAATTCATCAGCACATGTATTGCTGCAACCCCTTAAAGCGAGATCTTCGAAGTTTTCTCAACATTTGAATAAAAAGTGGATTTTATCGTCCTGAAAAAGTGTTTTGCTCTAAAGATCACTGTACTGTTTTGTACTGTTTTTCTACAATGTCATTCTCGCACTCGCGCTCATATTTTGAACTTAAAATCAAATTCAAACAGAGCAAATGGTTTAAGAGCGACGTTTTAGATTTCCTCAATATTTGACCGAAAGTGGAAGATAATTCCAAAAATAGCTCAGCTGACATAGATGCTAAGAGCTTGAAAAACGAACGAGTGCATAATGATATGGAGATAGGATGTGGGCGAATCCATAGATGGTATCCTCCTTTCATACCCAAGTTTTGGAACGATCATCATCTCGCATATATTAACACATTTGGCACGCGCTTGCGTATTTCAACACTACTATTGCAGCAGCAGAGCGTACCCTGCGTGTGTGATCCTCGTTTGCGCCAGGACCTCTGCGTCCTTTTGTCCTCATGATTGCACCGTCGCGTCTCTAAACGATACGGCACCATTCTGCGACTGGCGTCTATTCAAAACGAACGTCAAAGCCATGCATGTGGGCGAACCAATCTAGCCGTCGCGTTATTTGGGATCGCGTTTATGCTATAGGAAAAAATTGTTGCTTTTGACAATTTCAAACTTTGAGCTGGGACGTGACGATTTCAAACTTTGAGCTTGGACGCCGAGAGTTGATACATGCATAGGTGAGCATGCTGGTAACGGAAATAACTTTAACTTGGAAGAAATCTTATGCAATCGATGACTCAACGATTTTTCTCCCAGATTTTTGTTTAAGAAGATGGGAGTTACCACAAACTGGAAAAGGGGGGAGGTAAATAAGCTGCTGAATTAGAAGGCAGGAGAGGATGGGAAACAGGGCAGGATAAGCACAGAGAAGACGGTCAGAGACAAGAGTGTTATGTGTGGCAATTGTGTGGCAACTGGTGAAATTAACATGGTGGTCGGGAGGAATCGAGAGAAGCAGCAAGCATTCGAATTTATGTTGTTTTGAACGCGCATCTCAACTTGTCCTGAGTGATTTTTCTAAGGTTGAAAAAAACCTGAAACTAATACAAAATTTCCGTCGCGTTACTCTACGAGTCTCGAAGGCACCGTAGGTTGAGAGTCTGGAGTTTTGGCAGCATATGATAGCATGATCTCTTATCAAGCCAATGTCCAAGTCGCGGAGCAGAATGTCGCTTCGAAAGCATGAAATTAGCTTCGGAGCGAAGATGCGCGAGGACCTCAAGTCGGCACCGCCCCCTGCAGCAACGCTCGCCCGTCCTTGCGCGCCCACTCAATCATCGCTCCCGAAAGCCGACCTGCGCGTTCTCCTAAACGGGATTTGCCGCGGTTTTGCGGGTTCTCGAGTTTGAAGAATATAATAAATATCTAAAAAATTAATAGGTATCATGTCCTGTTTTTATAATGTATGCATTTATTACATATGTCAGGTGTTGCAAAATCTCTTTTCACTTTTGAGCTACCATAACACAATGAAAATGCATGCAAAAACTTCAGAAACTTCTAGACGCTGCTTCTATTGTTTATGTTTCCGAACTTTTCCTTCTGTTGGTTACTAAAACGGTTGCCGAAATAAACCTGTGGTTTTCACCATGCCTAACTTTCAAACTCTCGATTTTTCCAGAACTTGAGAAGAGTTTGATAAAAAGTGGATAGGGTAAAGAAGTGGAGTATATTGCAGTTTTTGGGTTAACTCTAAAACTTTTGAAAACTTCTGAAATTAGTTTTTGGAATCACTAAAAAGCAAATTTTCAGGCTGTCCTCGAAGAACACCAATTGGTCAGAAATACGGGTGTCAACGCAACTTCTTCTCTTCTCTTGACAAGTGCTTTTTCCTCTCTTTTTGTAGAGTCTGCAGGGCTAGACTGATGAATCTTGTTTCTAAACGCTCCCCAAGCTGTATCCGGCGAATTCGAGAATGGGGAGGGGAGGGGGGGGGTCAAAGACAAGCACCTTTGCTTGCCATTTGCTTTCGAGCAAGATTGAACAGCGGGTGTTGACAGGAGGTCTACTTATATACCGTGAAGCCACAGGTTATATCTGCAATGGCGAACCTAAGCGACACCTCGAAAGTTGACTTGCGAATATCAGTGTCAAGGTACTTTTTGGCAAAGTCTACATGCTTACAAAGAACAAAGGCTGTTGACAGATCTAATGTAAGATTTTTTGTAAGTTACCATATAATTTGACGGAATAAGGCATACGATTAGACACGTTTAATAAAAGCTCGATTGAAAGAAATATACTCCTTGCGAATATCCGAAGCAAGCTCATACGACAACTTGTGCGTGATAGAATATATGACCAGGTTTATACTAAAAATTGCATCATTTCCCCTTACAGTAAACCTAGGAAACGTGTTAGATCTGAAGCAGTCTGAGAAATCGTATGCTGAGACCGCTGCTAAAAATATTGTGGGACCGACGACATTGTAAGTACGCATGAATGAACGCGTAATTGGTAAAAGACGAGAAAGTACATTGACGCCGCTGGGAAAGCACAGAAAAGCAGATAAATGGTAAGCTGTTCGTTTTCATTTGCTCCAAGTTGTGGAGGACAA